TCAGAAGCCCATGACAAAAAAAAGCGTTCTAGTCTTTTGACCCAATAGAATAAACCTCATAAATTTATCTCATTTATCTCTTCAAAGATGGCTTTGTCCATTCATAATTGTCTCTCCGTACAATATACTTCTAGATTTGAATGAGCATGGAGTATGGATTGGTCTCAACAACCCAGAAGGCAGTGCTGGCTTTAGCTGGTCCGATGGTACCCCTGTGGGGCAATTTATGAACCTACCAAACTACAATCCAGAGCCCAACAAAACGGGTAGAAAGTGTGTTGCCATGGCAAAGGATAAGAAATGGTTGGATAAGCACTGTGATTTGAAGTACCCATTCCTATGTGAGAAACCTGCACCACCTTAGAGTCTATCCGTATACTTGATGGTTAAGGATGTTGCACAGCCAATTCACTATAAGCCTGAAGTAGTAGCCTTCAATCAACTAGACGATCATAGATCGCTTACTTTACTTGGCCTTCCTGTAGCTGCGACAATGTTCAGCTGCCGCCATTAATTTAAGCTATAAGTATTTTATTTTCACGATAGAGTATTTGCTTGAATTAAGTCAATATAAGTGATTTATATCTTTATTGCATCTTGATTTTTAACCAAACTGAACCAAGTAATACTACAGCCTTTGGTTTTGTCATATGATTTACATTCATGGCTTATAATCAATTCGGCTGGTCCCAGTGAAGCCGTAGATATCGATCAGGCCACGAGGACGACTGACGTTCAAAACAATACATGTCAAAAGCGAAAACAAAGCGCGAATTTATTTAGTTTGACAACCCCATGGAAACTGAGACTGCAGACCATCTGCAACGCAGGCGCTACCACTTTGAAGCGTAATATTCACGACGAAGGAGAAAAGTCCACTGTCATTTTTTATATGTGGTCTTCCACAGGAAACCCACGTAAACAAAAACATCACACAAGATCGTCAATTTACACAAAAAAACTAAGTAAACTGCTAGTTACTGCGATAAAATCATTATTGATAGGTTGACCACAGAATAATTATATTGGTAATTAAAAAAAACAGCATTTTAAAAAGTACGTGTTAGTGTTTCATCAATAAATCAATAAATAATCAATAAATGACTTCTCATAATAGTCTTTTACAGTAGCAAAGCGGCAAAGCTTCAGAAAAATTTCCCTCGATATTCGGATAATCAAGGCTTGCCTCTTAAAGTTACTTGCAATATTTTGCAAATGGCAAATTTTCTCACTCCGTTAAAAAATGTAGTAATTTTTTAAAACGAAAATAAAAAAAATGCACTAAACAACTTCTGGAAAGAACGCTTTGGAACCAAACATCTATACGAGAAACTAAGAACGCAGCTCAGTGATTAACTTTTATCTCGAACGCACCTGTCTTCATTGAGGCAGGGAGTTTGACCTCTTTTGAAGACTATGCACAGACATGCCAAAGATGATGCATTATCATTAAAAGATGGAATCAGAGTGGACACTATATGAGCTGCATTAGGCTTATCATATAATAGTCTGGATTCCTTTTTTGCTCCCTTTTTCGAAGTTTCATTTCGTTGACGACAATACAAGCACAGTATGTGGAAATCTAATACCAATATAAATCAACAGATTTCACTTCATCATGAACGAGGTCGTTTACTAATCGCGCTGAATTGAAATCAGGCCCTCTAGTTTCTTAAATGTTTTTCCATTTTTTTTTTCTGTAAGAAATAGAGTACCTGTCAAAATTGGTAAGTAAAATATTCATATTTTATTTCAGGGCCGCATGTACTAAGCAWTCTAACATACAGATTGCTATATTTCATTGTAAACAAGAAAAGAATACAGATCGCCGACTTTTTAAATTAGAAATAACTAAAATTATACTTGGGAAATTAATGACCTACTTTRCCAAAATGTTTGTTTTAAAAGGTTCTTTTGTGAAAGGTGTTAAAAATGCAAATGYAAGTAGCCTAACATGTCCTTAAATTTTAGTTTCTTATAAGCGTAATTTTAATGCTTGACATAAAAAGAATTTGCMAAATGATGAGAAAASATAAATYTACCATGTCATTCAGGTTCAAACARCAGCTTTATATTATTAAACCATTAATAATTGATGTTTTGAGGTTTTAGTTTATTCACAATGTCATTTGCAACTCGTCAGACGATTCTGCCAATGATTCGACTTGACTCGGTTTGATTGGGGATCAAACCTTTTTTTTTATATAAGCAATTAACAAGAGTCAATGGTAAGTGTTTTTTTTTTTATATAAATTTCAATTTTCGTATCAGTTGTATTTGAATGAACTCTGCCATTAAATGTAAATCCATTTTAAAAAGAAAAACATGACAACTTAAGCAACGTTTTTAACGTGGCTCAAAACCTTTTCGTCCTGGTAGAAACGTCGCGCTTTTGGGGTTGTAGACGAAAGAAAATAAAAATGAAAATAAAGGATATTAGATGGGCGCGGAGATACGGATTTTATCTTCGAGTATTGAAAAGATCTCATGTCATGTGATTCAAATGGATGAATATAAAATGACTGTAGAAAGCCAACACACAGAACTTCAAACTGAACTTTCCTGCATCTCAGTCCCCTTTTGACTGAAATTGGGGAATAATAAAGAGAAAGTTGGACCTTACTCAAATATCAAGCAATGAAAATCCTKAAACAAAATTGGAACATTCGCTAACAGTGAATATTCATTAAAGAGAGTGGTTTTCCGTCAACCAGCATGAAAGCACTATAAGTCCAATAGTTAGTAGTAGTTTGTAATAGACCAATACTAATAGTCTAGGTTGTATCCGATTGATATAGGTATTAACAAGTTTATTTTTTTATTTCAAATTTTAATGGTCAATTTTGTTATGGTAACTAATTAAACTAAACGTTTAATTTATTCAAACTAGTCTGTTGTTTGTTAGCTATTCGTTTATAGTTTATATGTCTAAAAGYTATATTGACTATTACTTATTGCTACTAACTAGTTGGTCTATTTCTTTTCATGGTTGACGGAAAACCACTCTATTCCTATATTTATTAGACAAGTCTAGATTGCATTCGTGTTAAAGAAATACTGCAGCCATGTGAACTCCCACTACCAATATTCCATACCGCAAGTAAGACGTTTAATAACTGGCAAACTAGGGAAAATCACTACCAAAGAAAAGACAGCTAGTGCTAACTTGGTTATCCAACTACGACATGAATTTGGCTTTTTCAATACTTCTGGTCATCAGCTACATAAAATTTCTCTATGGTTGCGAAATGTATCGCTTCGTGTCCACTGATGGACTTGCACTCGAAGGACACGTTATAAAGACRACTGTTCAACTTTTTATTCCTCTTTGCTGGAGCGATTGCGTTTGGTTGCCATGGTGTTTTTCAATAAATTCCCGAAAAACAAGCGAAGGGATGTTTGAGTGTGAGCTTAATAACTCAAGTAAGAAAGCAAATCCATCCAAGATTGYGCCCAGAAAAGGATGGTCTTACCAAGAAATGAAGGTATATTTATTTACAAAATAGCCTACACCAAAAAATGCTTAGTGCCGTACGTACGTATCTCATTCAATATAATCCGCCATTTGCATTCTAGTGCTTGACATTCAGTGAACTTATGGCTTGGACATATTGATTATAACTCTTTCTGTTTTTGTCATATATCCAGGATTTCAGCCACATTAATTGCAAAGTCAATGAATGCAAAAGAAAAGAAGGTATTTCTTTGCTATATATACAGTAATGAAAACAAAACCCCTAAACTGATGTTATTTCCAGAAGATTTATACGAATTACGTTTGAGTACTTTTCGATGTATATCATTGCGTTCATATCTGCATGTTTCCTTAGATGTAGGTGATGGTTGGCGACATGAAAACAACGTCCATACAATTAATAATAATCCTAAATTGAAAAGTTATCTATTGAGATCGATATATAAAAATATTAAGCTGTTCTTTATTCAYAGATTTAGGCAATGGTTGGTTTCGTTATGGAGATAGTGCCATCAAGGTCTTTACAGAGAAGAAAAMCTGGACYGATGCTCRTAGCCATTGTCAGTCATTAGGTGGTGATCTTCTCTCTATTACCAGCTCACACGAGAATGACTTTGTCAACGAAATTTTC